CTCATAAATTGGTCAAAGAAAATATTTAGTAAAATATTATTTATATTAAAAAACCCCAACAATCCCCCACTATTTTAATAAAAATAAAAATAATAATAATAATACTTGAGCTCTTGCGGAATATTATGCATAATGAAAGTGGACAATGCCTTCAAACCTTCACTTAATACAATATGTTTCTCGTACTAGAATCAAAGTGCGCTTAGCCTTTAAACAGTGACCCTTGGGGCACGTAGAATCATATTGCACACACAATACTCAAAGTGTCCCGATCGAAGCTTCTAAAGCCAGCACGTTAACGGCCATGTGCTTTACCCTATTTCTCGTGAGAGCTCTAGAGAACAGCCTATAATTCTCATAGGAAGCGGCCCCACTTCCACACTCACAAGGTGAATTCTATCAAGGATGTTTACGTAACTCCATCACCCCACCCATCCGGGCTATAGAACTCATTAAGAGATCAAAGTCTCAAGCTCACTTCGTTACGAGCTTTATTAGTGCACACGCACCATAGGGATGGATAAAAGTGTGCACTTTTATCTCGATCAAGTTGCTTTCAGATTCGTTTTTCTTCGCCTAGTTCGTAGGATCTCTAGCCCCTAGGCGGTAGTATCCCCATCAACAACTTTACAAAATATATTAGGCTTTAAGTCAATCCCCCTCGATGCATTTCAGATGATTTCTGAAATAATGTGAAATATAATTTCACAAATTTAGTGTGTGTCATAGACTTTATGGTTTATTTTGCATATTTTCCCACTTCTATGTACTAAGTTAATTTTTTTAATCATTTGAATTAATTGACCTAATGAAACATGTATGGGTTATATGCATGGGGATTATTATTTTATATGGGGATTATTGATTTAAAATTATTTCTACTCATGTAATTCAAAATACGTGTCAGTTTCATAAAATTAATGGTCTATCCATGGGGATTATTGATTTAACTTTTATCTACTAAATTTACTTGCAATTACATTTTATTTTTCCATTCAATCCTTTATTTATGTATTGGATGGTAAGATTCATTGTGATAGAGTTTGTGACTAAGAATGTTATACGTGAAGTTTGTAAGGACTTTCTATTTCAATTGGCTTCTTCTTGTCATCTCAAATTGACGTATGTACATTATCAGGGACTCGTAACAAAAGAAATAAAATGTATTGATCCTGCAGCTTCTTTAATTGCTTAATCCAAAGGTGATGTTGCATGACTTTGGGTTTAGCCAGTGATCCAATCTCATCAAAGTTGTCAGTCTTTCTCCAACAAGACTAAGCTATACATTTCCTGGAAACCATAATTAAATTTTTGATTTACGTGGCTCTTGGTATTCCACATCTCGTTTATGAAAATAGGAATTGAACTGCCATGTTATTAATCTTTGTTAACGTTATGAATTGTGAGTGGATAAATAGGAAATAATCTGTTAAATGGGCTTTATATTGCTATTGTAGTTTTGCATTAGATGATTATATTGGATTGTCATGTTTTAGTTAATCCGAGACTTCACTTTTGGTGTCTTGACTATCTCTATTTGTTAGTGATATAAATTTTAGGGGAAATTTCACTTTCCCCCTATTACTTTGGCTCGGTATCACTTTACCCCCTTCTATTCATTTGTCCACATATACTTGAAAAATTGTCTCAATGTGGTCCTCACTGTTAGTTGTCTGACATTTGACCTTAACGCCGTTTTATCAAAACTCTAAAATTACGAAACTGCCACCCCTCCCAATTTAAATAATTATTTTAAAAAACAATTCAGGAAACGAGAAAACATAGTCAACGACGTCTGCCACCATTTATTTGTTTTTTATTTTTTTGGATTTTTTAATAATTATTTAAGCTAAGAGGAGTGGTTTTTTTTTGTAATTTACAGACTTAGATCAAACGGTGTTAATGTCAAGGTCTGAAAACTAACGGCGAGAGCCATATTGAGACAATTTTTCAAGTAAAGTCATATTCAGCCAAAGTAAAAGTGGGGAAAGTGGAATTTACCCTAAATTTTATGCACTTGACTGATGGTTTTATGTTGTCTAATGGTAGACAAATATAACATGGAATTAAAAGTTATTTCTCATGTAATTTATTTATATAAGCTTGTTTCCGTGATTTTTATTTTGATGGCGAAAATTTTAATGTCCGTTGTTTGTTTTATCTTCTATATTATTTGAATTTTTAGGTATTTTATTTTCTCATGAACTTCTTATATTTTTAAATTCATATTTTTTTCCTCTAAATGTTAGGGTTCAGTGGCTATAGATAGTTTCTTTTTCAATTCAGTAAGTTTTGTGTTTACTCCAATTAAAACTCATTAGTTAAGTTTTAGGCTCTGATTGAATCATTAGTCTCCTTCTCCTTCTTGCACACAATACCTCCCACCTTATGTAAAACACTTGTATTCGCTGTCGTGCTCTCATAAAAAAATTTAATGTTATTAGATATTAAATTGCTTTAACATAAATCTTCGATCTGGTTCCCGTTAGTATTTAGGTGAGTTTCAGGGAGATATTATTATAGAAAATCTACGAGCCATTCATGGGATACTAATTATGCCAGTATACTTTATATGCTTTATCACTGTTATTATTGGAGATATTAGCAACAAATGATACACTTCACTAATAGCTTAAGCTTTTGGTTGGGGTAGTCATTCAACAAGGTATCAGAGTCACACCAAATGAAAGGTCATGAGTTTGAATCCCACCGCCATCCATTTCAAATATTTCAAGTGCAAGGCTTCAAATGTAATTTGCTTGAACTTTAGGGGGGCGAATTGGAGATATTAGTATTAAATAATAATAGCTTAAGTTTTTGGTTGAGGTGGTCATTCAACGATTATATTTGTTTTTGTTTTTCCCCCTTTATAGAAAGTCGATGTGATCCGTCAAAACTACAAAATAAGGATGTTGGATGTACATCATATTTCTTAGACATAGCAGGCAGGGGAGGTACAACCGTACAGGTGAAGTCAACAACAAATGGATTCTCCGATCCATAGTGTAGTAACATGTTGATGAAACTGATAGCTGAAAGACAAAATGAAGCCACCCAAAATGCAAAGGCAGAAATTTTAGCTCAATCTTGTATTCTCGGATGGTTTTACTAAATAGTTAGTTTAAGGAAGCTAAGTGAAGAAATGGTTGTACATGTAGTTCGTTCTTTGTTTTGATATTTCATGACATACCAAAGGCTGAAGACAAACTGTTTTAGTTTCATTAATATATTTTATTGTTTTATTTAGAATTGTAGCAGTTTTTACCGTATAAAGGTCAAGATTATGCTCTTGATACGCTCTTTTAGAATGCATTCAAATAGACGATCAACTGAGTGCTCTAGAAGAAAGAAGGCACATTTTACTACCCTTGAGATACAAGTTCACTTGAGATATATCTTTTAATCTTTGTAACATATCAAAGATATCATTATATGCAAACTTATGGACAATATCTAAAGTTCTTCCATGAATTATTTATTCTTTATAATTAGACATAGTTTCACTTTGTGAATTATTATTTCATTACTTTGACAGGATGATGGCCTGGTACATAGTATGTCAAACTCAAGATGCCCTGAGGTATGTTATTAAAATAAGCAAGTCTCTTTTTTGTTTATGAGAACCTCTCTTCTTCTATGTTTCGAATTTATCTAAATTCTCTAAGTCTTAAACGGTCGAGACTATTATAGAGCTACTCTAGACTTGCGTTCATGTGGAGTGATACTATTTGTAAAGGTTGCACGAACCTAACCTTCTCTTTACACTACTGTGAAGCATATAGACCAATTAAATTTGTGTAGAGTTTTTTTGGAACATAATTTACATTCATGCTCATTGCTAGCTGGAAATTATGTTAATGCACCAAGGTTCTGAGTTTTTTGTTTATTTTTCTGATGTAAGTTTCATCGTTCGATAAGGAAAAATAATGGAATTGGTAAAAGAGTGGATAATCCATAATAAGCAGAGCCTGTTGCATAAGGACTAGGTGTGCCATAAGCAACATTGCAATTGGATGATGCATTTTGGTTATGAGGAGTACATTTGCTGTCCCACCAAGAGTTATAAGAATTGTATTAGTTTTCAATGATTTCACATAGACATCATTAACTTCAACAACTATCATATTACAATAGCAATACTAAACAAAATCTCGTAATTGACTGTAAATTTGATCATAAATCTCGAAAAATATGTTTTCCTAGGATTCACCTGAATTTCAATGTATATGCAATACAAAGAAGATAAGAGAGGCATTTTAAGTTTGATTTGATGTAGTTTACATTCCTCGAGTACTTACAGAAATAGCAATATGTTTTTGGCCTAAAACCAATTGACTCGTATTTTATAAAAGGCATCTTGCAACCTAATATGGATACAGAAAAATAATTTTCACCATATAATAATATTACGACACGTGCAACGCACGTGCACCTTGATAGTACCAAGATAAGTCGAAAATGTATCGATAACAGGACAACACATAATTTAAAATAATGCAACATTTCTCAAAACGTTTATGATCTAGGTAGATCTTGCAGTTGCGGCGACAATGACCTTTCTTCTTACAATGATGGCAAGCGTCATCAAGTTGTTTGTTGACCTTGTCATTGGAAACTCAAGTAGTCTAGCCCCTCTCCATCTTCTTACTCGGATAGGAACTATTTTCTTTCATTTTCTTCTATAAAGAACTCTTCTTTCTAGGACCAAGAAAGAGAACATATTTCTCCTTCTTGATGGTGGACTCGTAGCTGACCAACATGTTCATCAACTCATTTACGCGAGGATCGAGCTTGCTCATGTTAAATTTCACTATGAACGTATTCATAAGAACTAGGAAGGGACATACGAATCAAATCCAACGATAGCCCGGATGGGATCGGAGGGTGACATCAAGGTCCACCAATTTCTCAAGGAGAGATTTCATTTCTCTAGAAGAAAATGTATTTAATTCATTACAAGCATAATATGAAAAGAAAGAAGACAAGAAATCATTTAAAGAAATTGCTTAAGAATTAACCCGAGTCGAAAACTCTGTCAAAGCTTTCCACGAAGAACTTACAAACACCAAAGAAAAAATAAAAAAGTTACAAATGAACCGGCCCTTCTATTTATAGGAGAATGCAAAGATTCTTGAGGAAGCTTTGCAAATAATATTTGGCCTCGGATTTCGTGCCCAGATCGCCATACAAACTTCTTTGATCGTGATATGGCTGCCTCGGAGAACAGTGCACCACTTTGCCGGATCACGATTTGGGTCCGTGAAAGTTTGGGTCACCATCTGTAATGAGACCCCAGATCCCGATCATGCAAAAGGGTATCGCTATCTGGGTCCGTGAAGATTTGATGCTCTCCGTGTATTGAGACCCCATATCGCGATCATTCAAAAGTGGATCGCGATCTGGGTCCTTCTTTACCACTTTTTGACTTGAAAATCGGTTTTGCTTTCAAATCGTTTTGAATTGGCAAAAATAGTTTTTCTTACGTAGAACTGAAATAAAAATAAAGCCGAAAACTCGGACGAAAGAAGACCAAAACTCGAGGATTAGATATGTAAAAAGTGTGCAAAACGAACACTTATTAGATCCCTATTTTTGTGCACAATGATTTACTTATATAACGGCCAAGACTTGGTAAAAGGCCGGAGATTACTTGTGCAGTTCAAACTTCATTTCACTATAGATCCGTGGCCCAGACAGTCGTCCAAATTGCAGTGTAAATTCTCGGACGACCATCTGAGAATGCGTGTTTTGATTCTCCTCTTGATTGGCTCGGACGATCGTCTCAAGTTTGAAGGCATTATTGAGATGGTCGTCTCAAAATGCGTGCTTTCTTCTGCACTTCTTCTTAATCCGCACGGTTGTCTGGTTTTACAGTTTATATATGGGACGGCTGTCCGAAGCTCTTTGTAGTCAACTTTGGCCGGTTTTTCAATTCTTGCCCGTTTTTTATCCGTTTTTTTACCGATTTTTCTTCCAAACGTCCGATTTCTCAACTCGCACCTATATAGAACAAGTCATTAAGCACTATAAACTCAATAAAATATAACAAAAAATCTTGTAAGAGAAAGTAATTCGAGTGTAAAATCTAGATTCAACAGGTTCCTTTCATTACATTTTTTCTCATCCCACTCTCACAAAAAAATTGTAACTAAAGATATTAAATTTGGAGATTTTCAGAAAACATAAAACCGAAAAGAAAAAGAAATCAAACAAAAAGGAATAAAAAGAGCAAACGCACAAACCAACAAGGAATGAATGAAGAAAATAAAAACAACAGCAAATACACGCGCGGCAAACAAATGAAAGAAAAAAAGCAAGATGTTTTCCCCTCTTTCTGTTTTCATAATTTCTAAGGTACTCTGCTGATTGTTATAGTTCCACCCCGGTTTTCTCGTATTATTTTTTTTGTTTTAAATCTCAGTGTCTGTTGCGTATTGATTTTTTTGTTCAGTGTATTTTACTTTGCACACCAAGTGTTTGTAGATATGTCACTTCGACGCTCAAATTGCATATCTTTGATTTTTTCCGACAGTGCTTTTGAGTTTATCACAATTTGAATGGCTTTATTGCATATGTTTGGTTTTCATGCAGGTTCGTTTCATTCTGCAATTAAAAATGTCATACTATAAGAAGACAAGCACAGAATTGACTTATCTACAGAAGGAAAATCTCTAGTTAGAAGTGAAGCAAGATTCTTTATCTGTTTCATGGTATGCGTTTTCCAGTCGTTTCATCGGGTCCCAACCTCAGCAATGTGTGTCGTAAATTAAAGGATTCGTCGTCAAGCGGCAGATGGAAAGAGGTCCTTTCTCACTACAGAGAGATAAAACAATCAGATGTTCAACTTGTAGATCATACGATTTTCTCTCATGTTCTTAAAGCTTGTTTAGCTCTGTCGTTTGGATTCGGAAAGTCCGTTCACTCGTCCGTGATCAAGCAGGGATTCGAATCTTTCACTTCGGTGGGAAATTCAGTAATGAACTTCTATGCAAAATCGGGAGCATTGAGCTCTACGCGGGATGTTTTTAACTGCATGAAAACGAAAGATTCCGTTTCTTGGAATATAATTCTTCATGCGCTTTTCAATGAAGGTGCTTTTGTGGAAGGATTCGATTTGTTTATTCAAGCTAGAGAAGATGGCTTCGAACCGAACGTTTCTACGTTGCTGCTCGTAATTCAGGCGTATCGCAGTCTTGGAGCTTTTAACGACGGTGAGAGATTTCATGGTTACTTGATTCAAAGTGGGTTGTGGAGCCTGACTTCAGTACAAAATTCTCTTTTGAGTATGTACACAGACATTGGGATGCATTTCGCAGAGAACCTGTTCGATGAAATTCACGAGAGAGATGTAATTTCATGGAGTGTGATGATAAGAGGTTACGTGCAATGTGATGATGCTATATGTGGTTTAGAATCGTTTAAACAGATGGTATCGGAGTTTGGTGTTGAAGCCGATGGGCAAACCATGGTTAGTGTACTCAAAGGTTGCACGAATTTAGCTGACGTCAAAATGGGGAAATTAATCCATAGCTTTATAATCTCGAGAGGTTTAAATTACGATTTGTTTATAGGGAACACTCTGGTTGATTTCTATTGCAAATGCGGGGACGTCGATTCTGCCGTTCTGGCATTCACGGAGATGCCTTGTAAGAACATAGTATCATGGAATTCTCTGCTGTCTGGATTTGTTCATAACGAGAACCATGCAGAAGCATTAAGGTTGTTTGGTTTGATGAAAACGTCGGGACTCGATTCTGACGAGGTGACCCTAGTTAACCTACTTTCGTTGTGCAAATTCTTGGGAGATCTCCGTCAATGCAAGTTGATTCATTCTAGAGTAATGCGGAAAGGTTTTGAATCGAACGATTTGGCCGTTAATTCTTTGATTGACGTATATGCGAAATGCAACGAGATCGACGTTTCTTGGAAACTGTTCTGCCAAATAAAAAGACCCGATATTGTTACGTGGAGTACGATGATATCTGGTTTTACGTACTGCGGCATGCCCGATGAAGCAATTTCTCTTTATCAAGAAATGTTTCTCTCACTAGAAAACCCAAACACCGTTACACTTATAAACCTTCTCGAGGCTTGTGGGGTCTCTGCCGAAGTTGGTCAATCAAAATGGGCCCACGCAGTCGCTATCCGAATGGGATTGGCATCAGACGTTGTAGTCGGCACTGCAATACTCGACATGTACTCGAAATGCGGGGACGTAAAAGCATCCAAAAGGGCATTCGACCAAATTTCGACGAAAAACATCGTCTCGTGGAGCGCAATTATCGCTGCGTACGGTCTGAACGGCCACCCGCGTGTCGCTCTAGCATTGCTCTCCGAAATGGAAGCTAACGGTTTGAAGCCCAATTCGGTGACGATTCTCTCCGTTTTATCCGCGTGCTGTCATGGAGGATTGATCGAGGAGGGACTCTCCGTGTTCAAAGATATGGCAAAGAATCATAAATCGGAGCTGAAGTTAGAACATTACTCGTGCCTTGTGGATTTATTGGCTAGATCCGGAAACGTTAACGATGCGTTGGAATTGATTAAGTGTATTCCTTTCGGCATGAAGGCGGGCCCGAGTGCATGGGGTGCAGTCTTGAGTGCGTGTAGGAACTACGAAGATCGAGAAGTGAGTGTAGGTGCAGTTTCTCGGGTTCTTGAAATGGAGCCGTCGAGCTCTGCTGGTTATTTACTTGCGTCGAATGTGTACGCTTCTATGGGTTCGTGGAACGATGCCTCGGGTATGAGGTGTTTGATGAAGGAACGAGGTGTGGAAGTGGTGTGTGGTTATAGTTTGGTTCGTGTGAATAACAAAGCGTGTACTTTTACTGCGGGGGATAAGTATCACCCTTTGTCGCATACGTTCGGCCCTGTCGTCGAGCAGTTACACTCGTGTATGAAGATGGATACGGGAGCAAGACTACCGTTTTAGTTATAGATATGGTTCGTAATAGTGTTGATATACTCTCTATCACGTATTTGGGTTCAGAAAATAATCGAAGCAGTAGGTTTTGTCAACATCAACGCGAACTAAAATGGCTTCAATTGAACGAAAACGAAAAACGAACATTTGGTAGTTGGCTGATCAACTTCAACTTGCCTGGTTAGTTTATAATATAATGGGCATATTGTACATTGCCCCCTATAAATTTCTAATTTTCACACGATACCCCCTCAAAATTTTAAAAAGTGAATGCCCACCTTCCAAATGTTATTCTTTTTGCACATTGCCTCGATAGCGAAATTTCGATGGATTATTCATCGGAATTGAGTATGTTTGTTGCACGTTGCCCCTTTAAAAGTTATTTTGTTGCACGTTGCTCCTTAAAATTGTTAGTTTTTTGCCTGTTTAAAATATTTTTGTTTTGCACGACGCCCACCACAAATTTGCTTTTGGGGCAAAGTGCCACCAAAATAATATTTCGAAGGGGGATTATCCATTTTTTTAATTTTTAATGGAAAAAATGCCAAAATGAGAAATTTATAGGGTCGAAGTACATTTTGTCCTAATATAATATGATAATAATAAAAATATTCCCTGTTTTAATTAATCGTCACGCTTGACCAGTTGTGTTTGTTAATCTTTCTTTAGCTCGTTGACACTGATACATGATGTACTTGAAATGATTACAGATCTTCATCTAATGTAGGCAGGTTGTCACAGCTGAAGTAAACCATTTGAATTTTGGACTAAGGAATTTTACGAATCTTATGCAACAAATTTCGAAACATCAAAATCCTGCTCTTTTGTTGGTAGGTTTTTTTTTTTTTTTTTTTTTTTTAGAGATGTGATTTTCACAAATCGGTTAAATAACTGCGGAAATTAGGATTAGTCTTGTAATAACCTTAAAATTGATATTAGATTATCTAAGATAAAATATTAGGCCTTGTTGGGTTGGGGAGATTAGCCATTATTAACTAAATAATTAGACTTTGTTTGATGTTTGGGCGTCAGAGGATCCGATAAAATAATCGGATTTTCATTAGATTATTTAATCTTATCTTGGCTATTCTTGGCAACCAAACGAGGCCTTAAAGGAAAACTCCTTTTACCAATTACAGTGTTGTTACATAGTTGATACATGCCATGACCAGTGGACGAAATTTGCAAATATTGTCCATTGAATTTCGGTTACTAAATAAATAAATCTGTGTTTTTTTTTTTTTTGCAGGACCATTTCTCGAACCGCAGGATTACTTGCTAGTTGTAACTCTCTCCACTAGTACTCTTGGCATATACAATAACTAAGTGTAGGTGCTTCATTGGAAAAGGTATACGACATTTTACGTTTTCGTTATGTTTTTTGTGTTATACCAAATTGTTCGTACAATGTATCTTAAGTTTAAATTAAATACTCTGGCTTTGCAGATCCGATAAGAAAGTTATAATCTAATCGAGAAAACCATCACCATCGGCTGCTATTTAAGTAATGCAGTTGATATTCGACTTCATTACCAATTGTAGGAGCTAAGTTTACAAAGAAATCACCAAAAAACTAAAATCACTACATCGTCAATAACAATGCACAAAAAAAAAATAAAAAAAAAATAAACAAATAGCAAAAAAAATACACGAATGATTTCTTCCCTAAACATTAACCCTCCTCAACTTCATCCACCGGTAACGCGTAGCCTTCTTCAACCACTCTTGCCTTGTATAAAAGACAGCTTCTTTTTTTCTTCGTAGGAAAAAATCGGGAACTAATTACGAGTGCTGTTCATTCTCTTTCTTGTGCGTGATGATAATGATAATGATAAAAAAAATAAAGCAAGGCAAGAAAAAAGAAACGAAGGGAATGTTTATATACAAACTGTAGTAGCCTAGGAAAAACTGCCCTGCTGCTGGGAAAGAAAATGAAATAGTAGAGAGAGAGAGAGATTGAGAGAGGAGAGAGAAAGGAATCAATTGCCTAACGCAGCGAATCCGCCACCTCTCATCATCTGCTTGAACTCGGTGAAATTGACCATACCGTCCCCATCGGCATCTACCCTCATAATCATCTTCTTGCAGTCCTCGACGGCCCTGCCTTGCTTGAGCCCGAGAGACGCCAATACGGCTTTCAGCTCGTCGACCGTTATGAACCCATCGCCGTTCTGGTCGAACACGTTGAACGCCTCCCTCATGTCTTCCTCCTCGTCCCTCTCGTCCATTATGTTCTGGTACAAGTTGCCGAACTCCTCGATGTCCACGCACCCGTCCCCGTTCACGTCGATCTTGTCTATCATCTGGCTCAGCTCCTTGTCGGGGATGAAGATTCCCATGTTCTCCAACGAGTCGCTGAGCTCCTTCTGCGTGATTCTTCCGTCCCCGTTGCGATCGAACATTTGGAATACCCTTCGGAGCTCGTCGGCGTCCATTCTACGGGGGAATTTATGGAGTGGTGAAATCACGGGAGAGGACGAGGGTGACGCGGGCTCGTTTATTGTATTAGTATTATTATGTTTCTGTTGTTTTTGTTGTTCTTGTTGATGGAGATATGGGTACCAAGAAGGAGGGAGAAATGTCCTCAACTTCTTGGGAACCAAGTACAAGAAAATGGTGTTGAGGAGTTTGTAGAGGAGGAAGATTCTTAATAAAATGGTTGGCATTTTGCAGGAGATTTTTGGTTATTTTAGTGTGTGTGTGTGTGAGAGAGAGAGGTGTGTGTGTGGAAGTGAGAGAAACTTGGGGAAACACTTGAAAATGGTGGTGGTGAATAAATAGTTAGGAGAATTAATGATGGAGAATTAAAGGGTTGAGAAAAGAGCTGTATTTGGTGGGTGTGTTTGGATCTGTCAAATAGCGCGTTGTAGTTATTTTTAAGTATTTTGTTGAAACCGCGTTGTTATAATTGTGGATTTGGTGTGTGTGTCTTTTGAAAAAAATAAGAGTAAATTACAACCAACCCCCTGAGGTATGGTCAATTTACAAATAAAACCCTCTTGTTTGGATAATTACATCTAACCCCCTTAACTATGATTTTTTCTTACACCTCCACCCTTATGGTGTCATATTCAGCATAATCATCTAGATTTCGCGGAATGTGCTCTAGTTTGTACTCGTTTTGCGTAAAAATACAGTTTCTGATGCACCACAATCTGATATATACAAGCCGAAAAACACATATTATGATCATCTTGCTTCAAAATGTGGAGTTAGAATGGGATAAAACGGGTACAAAAGTGATAATATTCCATATAATCTCGAAGATTCCACTAAATTTGAAACCGCAAGGGTGGACGTGTAAGAAGATTTATATTTGAGGGGTGGTTGTAATTACACAAACAAGATGGGGGTTTTCGTAATTTGATCATACCTCAGGGGATTGGTTGTAATTTACACAAAAAATAATAATAATGTGGTGGGCCGATTTGCAATTTGTTTTTTTATTTAAACTAGTCGTTGAAGATGGTAAGAAAAAAATAAAAAAGAAGTGGGGAAAGATGACCGTTGATAACGGATCTATAATTAGTAAAAGAAGGGAGCTGGTGTGACTCTAGCTGAAAGGCCGGCTACATAAACGCGTGATTGGTGGAAAGGTGACACGTGGATGAGAGAGAGTTGGCAATGTATAGAACTGGTTTATTGGTTTGATTGGAGTCGTTATTTGGGTGTAGGAATTAGTCGTGCTACAGTGGATTTAAAGCTCGTTCAACCATTGTAGTTAAACTAAATTGAAAGCATTATAATTTATAGCGCAAATTGCAAAAAAACCCATAACAATGGACATCCTATTTCTTTTTTCTTGCAAATATATTTGTAAACCACAAATTTTTCGAATCTGTAAAACATAAATACAAGACAAGAAAAATATAGGAAAACAAATAAATATATTATCAAACGAAAGCGGATTACAATCTCCGTAATTCCCCTGATTCTTCTCTCCTATTCTAATTTTGATTCAAGGGCTTAAAAGCTTGTTCTTGAATCAAACATATGATTTCCTATCACGAACATCTCGAATCTAAATATGTTATGAATTCGAGGAATCGAATATATGATTTCCTATCACGAACATCTCGAATTCAAATATGTTATGAATTCGAGGCGGAGGCTCGAGACGTGAGCTTGAGAGCTCGATATGTGCCTGTGTGAGTCTGATTTTTAGATGCACCAAAGATCTTCTTTTATAGGCACAAGCTAGGGTTAGGGTTTCTCGACTTGCAGAGTGGGCCAGACATTTTAAAGCCCAAATATATTATGGACTTTAATTTGAGACCTAAATTAATAACCGATCTATTTTGGTTATTAATTAGTAATTTATCTCCAAATTTCGATGTCTACAAATGCCCCTACTTCTAGTCTCGGCGAAGAACATGTCGAGTAACTGTGAGACGAGACTTGAAGTACTTAAGTTTTTTTTCTTTTTCAAAACCCATTTCTTCAAATTTGGGATTCATTTGTAATTTCTCCCTTTTGATTGGCTGGCTCAAACGTAGTATATATCGGTTTTCCGAATTTGAGGCGCAAATGACATTTCTTTCTTTTCCACTTAGGGACCCAATTGCAATTTTGAAGATTTGGCTAACAATTGGATTCAGCTTCCTCTTCTGCCCTACTTCGGAATTTTGGCCACCATAACCTGACAAGCTTCTCATGGAAAACATCTTTTTAATTTCCCACGCACTTCGGATACACTATGAACATCGGCATCGAGGAGCAATTCCCACGCACTTCGGACACACTATGAACATCGGCATCGAGGAGGAGCATGGGATTTCTTGGAGGCAGCGTGGATTTCCGGGAGAAGAGGTTTGCATCGGCAGGATTAGGTGATGACTCCGGCGACTGATTTAGGCGGCAAAGTGGAGTACGATGGTGGAATGGTCACTGCCTATTGCCTAGTGTCTCTGGGAAAAGATGAGGCAGTCCAGAGACGGCGGATTTGAGAGAGCAAAAGTTTGCAGTGGCGGCAATTCCGGGCTGTTACACGGCGGTGCGAGTTTCTTATGTGAATCCACGAAGCTCAGCAACAAAGAAGCGGCAGCAGATTTTAGTGGCCGGAAGCCGGCACTGGCGGGACATCGCCGAGCACATTCGAACAGCCTTCTTGTTTGATGGCGGTGGAGAGAATTGTTCGTAGCTGTAGACCATGCCCCCTCCTTTTTTTTTTTTTTTTTTTTTTTCGGCCATCACTGTCGAGAAAGAAAATCTTTCTTTAAAAATATCCTTGCCAATATTACGACTCTTCGTAGCAATTTTGCTATTAGAATCACAAAATTCCAATTGGGGGCTTGGGGACTTGATTTGATGCTCCGACGATTTAAATCCTTGTTAGGAATATAGAGGATATAATTATAATCCACATATTCCAGCAAAGAAATTTTGTTTTCTCCAATCAATTTATGGAACTTTCGGTAGCCTTCTTTTGTGACAAGAAAAGTCTCCTTTAATTTTCTTTGCCCCCGTTGACAACTGACCGACACATCATAAATATTTGGACTGCAAAGAAGGGTTGAATGGACGTGCACTTTGACATCGGAGGAAGAGATGAGGGGCGAAGATTGTCCCACCGGGCGTGCCAATTTGTTAACCACAAATTTAAATGTCTGCAAAATAAATTACAAGACAAGAAAAAATAGGAACAAATAATTATATTTTAATCAAAACGAAAATGGGTTACAATCTTTGTTGATTCCTCTGATTCTTCTCCTAGATATAATCCAAGGGCCGAAGCTTGTTCTTGAATTGAGAGCTTGATTCCACCGTTGATTTGCGGAAGTAGATATGAATATCTAGAAATCGATTTGGGGATTTCTAGGTCTTGTGGATTTGGTGCCTTGATGAAGATGTAGAACCTCCGCGGTTGTTGTTCTTCGTCGTGGCAAGAGCTCGAGACTTGAGAGCTTTTGAGTGCTTGATGTACGCCTTGCTTGATGCTTTGTGTACTTGTCCCTTGTATGTGTTTGAGACCAACTTTTATAGGCTCGGTTTTAGGGTTTCTTGACTTGAAACTTGGGCCCGTGGACTTGGATACTTGCAATTTATTTATTGTGGGCCATATTTCGTGGGCCCAAATAGCTAACCCAAGAATGAGAATTTAGTACTCAATTCTGGGTTAACCCATATGATATATTTGTGAAGCCCAAATTTTGTGGACTTCAGTATCAAGCCCAATATTTATTATGGACTATTAATCGAGATCCAAATTAATAACCAATTTATTTAGGCCATTATTTTGTAATTTAATCTCAATTTCGATGTCAACAATATTCATTCATTTCATTCAAACTTATTTCTTACAAAGAAAATGGTTTCATATATATCGAAATTACTCCCAACTCCTTGAGACTTTAATTAATGATTTAAGCCATAATTTAGTATTAATTTCACCAATTAATCAATTTTAACCTCGATTCTAATTTGACCCCAATTTTGACCGCCATCGTCGTTGACTTTTTTTTTTCTTTTAAATCGTTTTTTTTCTTTTTTCCTGAATTTCTTTTTCTGGCAGGTCGGCCGCTGGTCTCCGACAATGACTTTTTTTTTTTCCTTTTTCGAAAAACTATTTTCATTAATATTACTGTCTTTAGGTCTGGCAATCGGGTCGCGTGAGCCGAGCCTAGGTCGGCTCAAGCTCATATACCATCGGGCTTCATTATTATAGGCTCAAGCTCAAATACCATCGGGCTTCATGCCTATAGGCTCAAACTCGGCTCACGTATTTTTTCGGATTTCGGGTTTATATCGGGCGATAAATAAATTACATATTTTACAACTTTGCAGTCGGACATGTTAAAAAAAAAAAAAAAAATTTTACAGCCTAAGAGAAAAATCTATAATATTCATTGAAAATCAAAATACGATTAAAAAAACGTTGTTTGTTCATTAAAACAAATGAAACTTAATCTTGCAAATATTTAATCCTTAATTAATTATATGAAAAAATGGATCCAAGTCCAAAATGTAAAAAAACATAAAATAAAATAACTAGAAGCAATTCTAAATGTCCTCGTAACTCGTTTCGAAAATCTTGAGACGTGCAACAAAAAATACAATACACATATATATATATATGTATATATATATATATATATATATATATATATATATATATATATATATATATATATATATATATATATATATATATATATATATATATATATATATATATATATATATATATATATATATATATATATATATATATATATATATATATATATATATATATATATATATATATATATATATATATATATATATGTTTAATCGGGTTTATGAAACGGCTGAAACTCGGCCCGACTCACAATTAATCTGGCACGGCTCAAATAAAATGGGGCCGAGCTATAGGGCTTCGGGTAGGCCCGACTCAATTGCCGGTCCTAACTGTCTTAGTCTACAATATTAATGTCTCAGAAAGTAATATTGTTGTCAAAGCCAATAATTTTACTGTGTCAACAATAATATTATTGTCCTCACTAAAATATTATTGTGACAATAATTTTACTGTGTCAACAATAATATTATTGTCCTAACTACAATATTATTGTCTCAGACAACAATATTACTACCTGGGACAGTAATATTGTTGTTAACATAGTAATATTAATGTATTAATTAATTTTATCATCTTGGCTTGCAATATTACTCTTTCGGACAATAGTGTTATTACTGTGTAAATATTAATATTAATGTTTTGGCCTTTAATATTACTGTCTGAGATTGTAATATTGTTGTTGATACAGTAATTTAGGGGGGGGGGGAAAGGTTTTTTTTTTTTTTTAAATCAATGTCGGAGACTGGTAGTCGATGCAGGCGACCGACCGAAACTTTTTTTTGGAAAAAAGAAGTTTAAAAAAAAAAAAAGAAACAAAATCAACGCCAAAAACTGGAATGAGATGGCAGACTGAAATCTAATGAGATGGGAGCAATTTTGGTATATATAAAAGAGTTTTTCTTATTTGCAAATAAGTTTGAATGAAATGGCAAACTGGAATCTAATGATAATTCCTTCCATTATAATTTGGATAATATTTAGGGAAAATACTTTTTCGAATGCTTTTACCCTCAATTTTAAACAATCAAAATACAGAAGATAAAATAAAATAATATTATTAAATATAAATAAATCAGTAAATAAAAAAAATCTGCAAAATATTCAACAATCTCTCTCTTTCGACATTCAGAAGAACACATCATCCACACTTTCTCTTTCGCCACACCATAACCACCATGAAACATACCTCAATTCAACAATGCTGACAGAAAATTAAAGAATAAGAGCAACAAAATCATCTCTTGGATCCTACTATCTGAACTGCAATTTTCTCGAAGAAAAGATTCTAATTTCTTGCAAGGACTCAAGTATGTCCTGTAATCCCAGTTACGCAGTTCTAATATCAAAAGATTTCGCCGAAAAATCAAGTTTTAGTAACCATGCTTTTCATTTCAGGGCAAACAAACAGGACATATATTCAGCACAAACCTAATTCAAAATTATTACATGTTAGTTTATGTACATGAGAGTTGGTCTAAAGCAATGACAACCTCATCCATAGTTGGTCTTTGTTCCGGGTCTTCATTTAGGCACTGCAAAGCAAGGATTGCGATAATACATGCTTCATCCTCCGAGTATTGGCCCTTCAAATCCGAATCCACTACTCGAAAAATCATTCTCTTGTTAACTATATACGGTTTTGCCCATTCCACTAAATCTTTCTCGTTTACCACCTTCGTTTTTTCTATGGCACGGCGTCCACATAGGAATTCTAACAATACAACCCCGAAGCTGAATACGTCGCATTTTACCGTTAAGTGACCTGTGTTCACAAGAACGAAGGAATCCAATGGGGGTGATATTGTTTATTGAAGAGTTTGTTATTATGTAATTGATTTCCTTCGGTCCAAAATCCTTCAATCGAAATAGCACCGAAAAGAAATAGTGGGAATGTATTTTAGACTTTACTAACCTGTCATAAGATATTCAGGAGCAGCATAGCCGTATGTACCAAGAACTCGTGTCGTCACATGAGTCATATCACCAGTTGGACCATCCCTCGCCAAATCGAACCCACACAACTTGGCATTAAATTCCTGCATCAAGAGATAAATCCCTAAATAATATAGGTTTTTTTTTTTTTTTTTTTTTTTTTTTTTTGCAAACAATCCAAAGCTTCAAAGCACAAAACAATATCTCTCACTTTTGAAAATTTATTTTGTTCTATATTATCTGTCACTTTAGTAGAATTCCGACACAACATTAATTGCATAATTATGAATGTTACCTTGATTAATTAGTGGCAAGGGCATTTTAGTCTAAAAACATACATTTTCCTAAAACCAAATCATATTTAATGAGATCATTAATCCTTGTGCAAAGCTAAAACAACAACAACTAAAAAGGAACGGAGGGACTAATATTCGATGAACATAATATATACCCCATCTAGAAGAATTTTAGAAGTCTTAAAATCTCGATGTATGATGGGTATTTCCAAGCCATGCAAAAAAGAGAGGCCTCTAGCTGCACCTTTAGCCACTTTGATCCTTGTAGCCCAAGGAAGCGAAAGATTCCCTCCTAAACAAAACGGGATACGATCAACAACAGAAAGAAAACGAAACAATTGTTCGAAAAAGGCTGAAAGATCACAAAGTCAACTTCGGATATAAATATTACTTCGGAACAAGTGATTCTCTAAGCTCCCTTTCGACATCAACTCGTATACCAGAAGAAGGTTGTCTCCCTCCGAGCAATACCCGATAAGCTTAACCAAATTCGGATGACGAAATTGATTCAAATAATTACGTTCCTTCAGCAAAACATTTGACTATTTTTATAAGTAAAAAACGTTACATCTAAAAGAAGCCGCAAAGTACAAATTAAAGACAAGAGAAATTACCGACCAACCACTCATGGCTACTCGATGGATTAAATCTTTTAACAGCAACTGCCATTCCAGTTCCAGGCTTTGTGGCAGTAAGAGTGTGCTCGTTAAGCCACCCCTTATAAACGGTACCGATTCCTTCTTCCCCTAAATGGAAATCGAATCGGAAGTTTTTCGTTGCCTTTTTCAAGTCTTGAAACGGTATGGGCTGTGCATCACGTTGAGATTGATTTGTACTAGAAGAAGCTGCGGAAGGGATGATATCAAGTACTTGCAATATATATATCTTCCAAACAGTCAAAAGTGACTAAATTACATTATAATATATTACGACACGAAGAAATCTCGAAGAGCATTGTCGGTGGAAATCGTCATATATTCAGGCCTCGTTTGGCTGTCAAGATAAAATTAAATACTTTAATAAAACCCAATTATATAATTGGAATTTCGACCATCCAATAAAAAACATGCCTATAAGGCAAGATAAGCCATGATAACATAATATTTGCGGGTCGACCCGGCAAGTTAATTGGGATACCAAACATCAAACAAAGTCCTATTATTTAGTTAACCATTGCTAATTTCCCCAACCAAAAACACTGTCCATTGAAATCTTCATATATTCAGGCTTTGTTTGGTTGTCAAGATAAAATTAAATAATCTAATAAAACCCAATTATATTACTGAAGATGATCCAATAAAAAACATGTGTAGAAGGCAAGATATGCCATGATAATATAATATTAGCGGGTCGACCCAGCAAGTTATTGGGGATACCAAACATCAAACAAAATACTATTATTTAGTTAATCATTGCTAATCTCCCCAACCAAACGAGGCCTCAATGTATAATTCAATCATCGGGTATGTCGTTTATTCTTATTTATTCAACTTCTAATGAATGAATCTGCAGATGGGTCATGGAATTCCAAGATTTGTGCATGTGAATTTTCTTGGTTTAGGGCAATTAATTTCATCAAACGAACTGAGGGAGTGTTACACAAAACCCAATTAATAATTCATATATTCTAATGCATAAATCTGCAAATGGGCATGTGAATTTTCTTTGTTTAGGGTTCATTTGTTACACAAAACCCAATTATATAGAAACCCCATGATTTCAAATTGAACAATTCCCAAAATATACCAACACACAATTTGTTCATAAACATTATAAATATGAAGTCTAAGCCAATTTAAGTAGAGAAAAAACACAGAATTGCACCATGAACAACTTGAGAGAATTAATTAAATACTAGAAAAAACAGATTAGTGAAAATACCAACGACATCTTGAAAGGAAGAATCGAGACTGAAATCAGATGTAGTGGAGCTGTTGAAGCTTTCACACAGCGCAATTTCCCTAAGCAGTTGTCTCTTCAGAACGGCTCCGACCAGCTTCTCCCAGTTATCATACACCCTCGACATTTCTCACTTTTGCTTAATTATGCCATCCTCTCTCTCTCTCTCTCTCTCTCTCTCTCTCTCTCTTCTCTCTCTCTCTAAACGGAACACAAGATAAGAAGTGATTCTGATTCCTGCCATAATAATATCGCAGCAAAAAGTACCAGCTGCTAATAATACACTTTTTAGTAGATGGGTTAAATACGAAAACACCCTTTACTATACACATCGTATCATTTAAATATAAAAAAATCCCCTATTTTTGAAAGTCAATGGGCAAAACATTGACGACGTTAAATGGATTGGTGAAACTACAAATTTACCCCCACTTTATTTGCTACAATACTAATCATCTATCTCTTTTGTAGTTCCTTCGATCCTACACTCGGTGATAAACGCCGGGTGGGTCTTCTGCTGCCACGTATTCTTTTTTTTTTTTTTCTAAAATTCCTAAAGGTAAACCCTAGCGGGGAATCTATTATAAAATACAAAAAAGAGACACGTGACAGTAGAAGACCCACTCGATATTTATCACCGGGTGTAGGGTCGAACAAATCCGCTTTCACTTGCGGCTTCTACCCTTCTTTTTTTTTCTATTTTTGAGAAAACGAAAAGAGAAAAAAAAAAAGGTAGAGAAAAAAAAAAAAAAAAAGGGTTTAGTTTCAGTTATTTAATCTTTTTGTTTGGGTTCCTCGAGAAACAACTTGAGGCTTTTTTTTATGAAAAGTGACATTTATGATTTAGTTTCAAGTATAGATATGTAGAACTTTTGTTTTTTCTTGATAGATGCATTTATTTGCAATTTATGGTTAAAGACCATAAGAAAATTGTTGGGGTTTTTGCAGGGAAAAAAAAATGGGGTTTTTCTATGGAAATTGTTTATTTAGTGTTTAGAGCATAATTTAGAGTGTAATTTTTCATGATTGATTGTAACATTTAGGAATTTTATTTTCTGCAATGACGTCAGATCAATAATTAGAAAAAAATGACTAATAATGTGAAAAAAAAAATAGTGAAAAAAAGGCTCAAACAAACTCTTATATTTACAAGCTCTAGAAATGTATTTTCGTCCAGCTAAACCAACGGCTACTTCCCAACAACTCTCTCTCTGACAAACAGGTTCTGCAAAAAGTGTAATGATAGTGGGGATTTTGTATTTATGTATAATACATGGGGTATTCGATACAAGGTGCATAGTGCATGGGTGTTTTTGTATTTAACCCTTTAGTAAATGATTTTTTTCTTTTTCTTTTTTGATAATTGTTAAGTTTTGAGTTCATAAATGAATTTTATGATTGGGCCCAAATTTAATTGGGCATATTATAAATAAGTCCATTAAGGGATACTTATTCATAAAGTGGGTGAGACAAATATTTCTTTTACAAAAAAATTGACACATTGTCCAGAGGTGTGTAAAAAGTTAAATAGTCCCTCACATTTTAATATGCTCTAATTTTATCATTTAATTTAATTTAAACTCAATTTGTCTACAAATTTCACAAATTACTCAATTTTGACCAAAAACTCAATTTTAAGTACAATTTCGCATGTCGCCGCAGGTTTGCGGCGTTGACTTTGTGTTTTTCCTTCCTGATTTGTCCGCCGGTCTCCAGCGTTGACGTATTCGTTTTTTTTATTTTTTATTTTTTGGTTTCTGCCGGTGGTTCTTCGGTGGCGTTGACTTTTTCTTATTTATTTATTTATTTATTTATTTATTTATTTATTTATTTATTTATTTATTTATTTATTTATTTATTTTCTTTAACATCATTTTGCCCAGCAATATTGTTGTGGTTGATAGAATGACAGTCATATTAACTATGTTACTATTAAACACAATAATATTAACTATACTACTGTTTAACACAATAATATAGCTATATTAATCTCTAGCTCAATAATATTAACACAACAAAAGTCATTATTATTGTGTAATAGAATAATATTAATATGTTGATCGTTCAACAAAGGTAAACATAATAAAAAACCAAAGGAATTAATATTGATGTGGTTGACAGTAATATTATTGTCATCCATTACAGTAATATTACCGTCAACCACAATAATATTATTGTGTTTACAGTAATATAATATTAGTAGACAGTAATATTATTACGTTAATCTGTTAACAACTCAAACAAAACAAAAAGGCAAAAAAAAAATATATTGATGTGGTTTGTAGACGCATAAAATTAATAAATTGGTTAATTAAATTAGCCAATTAAATTGTGTCTAAATTAAATTATACCTTGTCTTGCAAGACAAGTCATGGGGATAATTATCAATTAATTATTGGCCAATAGGATTATTTCTTCTCTTCCAAGTTATAAGAGATAAATATCAATTTAAAGAGAGCCAATCAAATCGCGCCACGTCATCAAGCAGACTTTAAGTAGGACTCTTATTCTACCACTATAAATAGGGACCCTCCCTACACAATTCAAAAGACAACTCAAGAAGAAGAAAAACCGTAGGAGAAAATTCTCTCTACAATATTCAAGTCGTCCTTCATCAAATTCAAGACGTTCTTCATCAAATCGAGGGCGTTCTTCAACAAATCAAGATCGAAGGAAGATTGAAGGGTCAAATCCATCAAGAACTCCAAGATCTTCAAGTCAAAACCCGTCATTCTTCAACAAATCAAGATCGAAGGAAGATTGAAGGGTCAAATCCATCAAGAACTCCAAGATCTTCAAGTCAAAACCCGTCAAAGTTCAGCGTTTCGATCCGAGATTCAAGTCGCAAGACCTCGGAAGACGTTATTCAAATCCAAATCAAATCCGGAGAAGATCAAGTCAACTCTCCGAAATTCAAAGTCAAACACATATTGTTCTTGAGAGAAGAATCAAAGGATTAAATTAGATTTTGTAACCCGCAATATTTTATTTTAATTCAATAAATTATTTTTGTGCAAGTTTTTATTGTTTGTCTAAATCGCAGATAAGAATTTGTTGTTACAAATTTTGGCACGCCCGGTGGGACATCTCTACCTCTCATCTCTTCTCTCTCTCGAAGATCCTCGAAGTGTTGCAGTGACTGCTCTACGTTCACAATGAAGATTGCTTCTTCGAATTCATCAAGTGTGGGCTTAGGTACAAGGAGTATGGCTAAGAAGCTGCAAGCATCCTCCGAGACTAACTCGACGCCTCAAACCATTCAGAAAGGCTTACCACCTCTTGTCAACACAAGCGCAGACGTGGAAGGTTCAAAACGAGAGATTTCACAGCCCACGCCTCGTTCAACATCAAGCTACTCAGAGGTGGCATCCGTCATGACAACAAACGCTACAACCATGGAGGAGCAAATTGCAAGTTTGACAAAGGCCATTGAGGGACTCCCAAAGCATGTTCAACAACGAGATTCTCAAATTGCCGAGTTGATCAACAAGATGGACAAAGCTGATGCTAGTCAAGCTGTGGAGAATCAGATAGAGGTTCAAGACGAAGTCGAGACATCCACAAAGCAATAACCAGTTGAAAAGAGAAGGCTCCAGCTGAAGAACTTCAAGTTTCTCCAGAAGGAATGATTCATGTAGATCAAGTGATGACGCTGATCAGTGGAACCATCAAAGACAAGTTGGAAGGAAGCTCGAAGTCTCCATCAACCTATGTCAAGCCACACACGCAAAGAATTGATGATCTAAGGATGCCAATGGGCTATATACCTCCAAAGTTTCAACAATTTGACGGCAAAGGCAACCCCAAGCAACATGTGGCGCACTTCATCGAGACTTGCAATGATGCCGAGACGTACGGATATCACCTCGTCAAGCAATTCGTCCGATCGCTCAAAGACAACGCGTTTGATTGGTACATTGATTTAGGGGCAAACTCCATTGATAGTTGGAAGCACTTGGAGGAAGAATTTCTCAACCGCTTTTACAGCACTTGAAGAACAATCAGCATGATTGAGCTCACCAATTCCCCCCAATGGAAGAAGGAACCTGTCATCCACTACATCAACCGTTGGAGAAATTTGAGTCTTAATTGCAAGGATCGACTGCCGGAGGCATCAACTATTGAACTGTGCATCCAAGGAATGCAATGGGGACTCCGATATATCCTTCAAGGAATTCAACCTAAAAGTTTTGAAGAGTTGGCCACTCGAGCACATGATATGGAATTGAGCATAACTGCAAATGAAGTCGAAGAACCTTCATTCCTAAAGTCATATCAGCTCAAGGAAGAACATGTTGAAGAAGAACAAGAAGATCACGAGGATGGGGGCAAGTCTTTTGAATAAACAACATCCTATGCAATGTGACAAGTCAAATCAAATGAAGCACTCCTTGACACGAGTTTAAAAGGTCTACATGTCCAAATCAAATGAAATACTCCTTGACACGAGTTTAAAAGGTCTACAAGTCCAAATCAAATGAAACACTCCTTGACACGAGTTTAAAAGGTCTATATGTCCAAATCAAATGAAGCACTCCTTGATACGAGTTTAAAAGGTCTATATGTCCAAATAAAATGAAGCACTCCTTGACACGAGTTTAAAAGGTCTACATGTTCAAATAAAATGAAGCACTCCTTGACACGAGTTTAAAATGTCTACAAGTACAAATCAAATCAAAGCTCCTTGATACGAGCATAAACTATCCAAATCAAATCAATGCTCCTTGATACGAGCATAAACTATCTATATCTCCAAATCAAACAAGGCTCCTTGATACGAGCATAAACTATCTACATATCCAAATTAAATCAAGGCTCCTTGATACGAGCATAAACTATCTATATATCCAAATCAAATCAATGCTCCTTGATACGAGCATAAACTATCTGCATATCCAAGTCAAATCAAGGCTCCTTGATACGAGCATAAACTATCTATATATCTAAATCAAGTCAAGGCTCCTTGATACGAGCATAAACTATCTACATATCGACGTCAAGTCAAGGCTCCTTGATACGAGCATAAACTATCTACATATCGACGTCAAGTCAAGGCTCCTTGATACGAGCATAAACTATCTATAAATCAAAGTCAAATGCTCCTTCAGCACGAGCTTAAGTTGCAAATGTTTCTCCTTGTCCACATGTGTAAACAGTGCATGACATCCCTCAAAAGGATATATTTTGAACTACGTTATGACTTGATCCCTTTATAGGGTACGTAGGCAACTTAGAATCTCTCTAAGTCCAGTCATGATTTCAAAAGTTATATGTGTTTTGCTAGATCAAGCTGCAATTGAAGTTGAGC